AATTTACACGCGAAATATTTTTACATTTTACACAAGAATTGCGAAATACATAATCAGTTTCGTGCACTTGTTCTCATTCTCATTAGCGAGTATTCACTTGGGAATTAACGAAACGAAAAAGACAGAACAGAAGAAAGGGGAAAGCAATAACAGAGAAATTCGAAAATCACCGATTCTCCGTTAACTCTTCCAAAAGTAATTTTACTCGACCACCCCTATTTCTCGCCAATATCCAGTCCTTAATAGCAGACGTGCAACGGTGCATGTTTCCATCGCGAATTCTTATCAGCGATTCGATAATCGCGTCCTGCCCCCACCCCTTTTCTCTCTGGCCATCTCTGTTCAATTCCGCGGACAGGAAGGAGACGAGGGGGAAAGGAAGAGAAAAAAATGGAGCGTGTGTCACCACCAGAGCAACCAGAGGGTGGCCAAGGTGTCACGGGTGGGTAGGTCCAAGGTTGTCAGGACTACGACTCTCGAAACACACTAACCGACCGCCATCTTTGCTTCTCCTGCGTGCTGCGTGGGTGTATCCGAGCGTGGAGAGAGCGGGGATGAAAGGGAGAGCAGAACGCGGGGAGGGGGGAGAACAGAGTCAGAGGAGATGCGGGAGAGAGGGAGGGAGGGACGTAGAGCGAGGGGGAGAGAGACGACGCGGTCGAACGCGGAGAGCGCAGCGATGGAGAAAGATGTACGCATGGGAGGCTGGTGGGGGATGAGATAGGGGAAAAGGAGAAGGTGAAAATGTGGAGTGTAACGAAGGGTACATACGTGCAAACGGGGGGAGTGGGAAGCGCGAATGTAGGAAGAAAGAGACGCGATTGTCTGCGAAGCGGATTCATCGTCACCCATTAGTCCGCGCACGAGCTAAACGCGCGTTGGATATCAGAAATGAACCATTCCTCGATTTTGGTAATCAGAAATAGTGCGAAGAGGGGAAAAGGAGAATTATTATCGCTGACTGATGCCGTTGAAAATTGGAAAAACAATTTAAATTCGTATCTAGCGAAGAAAAAGCATTACAATTATCGAAGAATTGTATTTCCTTCTCAAAAATACATCAATGTTCCCTCGAAAAGAAGCACATAGAGCGATCGTACAAGCCAGAAAAGATAGGGAAACACCCGGAGAGAGACGGGGAGACGTCGATGGCGGAAAGCGTGAAAGAGAAGCCAGATGAAGCGGATCGGAGAAAGAGACGGGGAAACGAGCAGCGGGAGGGGAGTAAACTCGATGCGAAACGGGAGGGGGAACTGAGTAGAGTAGCAGAGGAAAGGGAATCGAGATAAAAGCTCGGACAGATGAGAGGCGGCCAATGGCGGGCATCACCCCCACCAGTGGTTCAGCGCAGCATCCTATGATTCGTAGGAGGCGCGGGTCGACGGAAGTGCGCATGTACGCCCTCGATGGACTCACTGACACTGCTCCCTTTTCCACGGCCCTCTGCGACACGAACCCCCAGGGGGTGCATTGCGGATATAGGGCGTGGCGTCTGGCCCTTCGGGATGTCGCGTCGAGACCTCGGTTACCCTTCCATTTTCTCAATTTAAACAAAAAAAAAAAAAAAAAAATAGAAGCAGCGATTTAAAGGAAGCTATTGCTCCTGAAAGTTCTCTTCGGCGACTAATTCCGGAGAAATTAATACAGTTTCAGACATTTCTTTTTAGAATCATGTTTATGGGCTTCTTGAAGACTGTGAACATTTTATTTTAGTTATATGTATGTATGTTAAATTGACGCCCCACGTGAGGTTTATAACTCCTATGTGGTCGTAATGTGAAAAAGTGAAACTGCTCCAAAATGGAGTCTCCATTTGGCAATCAATTCCAGGGAAATAAACACGAGTTCAGGCTTACCCTTGTAGAAGATGTTTATATACATCCTATATATTTAGAAAAATTTAATTGTATATGTGTACATAAAAAATTCCGCTTAACATAAACTTTATGTCGAAATGTGTAAAAGTGAAACTGCTCCAAAACGGAGTCTCCTTTTGGCGATTAATTCCGAGGAAACGAATACAAGTCCACGCTTTCCATCTTGGAGTCACCGAAAATTAATTTCGGTTGGTCTGCAATACGAAAAAGCGCGTATCGGCAAAATATCGGTCGGTGAAATTCGGAACGTATTGTCCCGTCGTGACAAGTGGAAATCCAGGTGCTTTCCACTTGTAACGATCGTCGATGGTCGGAGACCCAATCGTTACGAGGCTCTGTGAACCACGAAAACCGATTTCTATTCTTCTCTCCAAGCCAGCGTCGCTCGACTTGGACGTATCGATAAGCGACCTGCGCTTTCGACTGCGACGAACGGAGATCCAAGTTAAATTAGATACCTTTGTTTTTTATTCTTCCGTGTAAATCGTTTCTACGAAAACTCCATATTTATTCGGTAATTTCATCAATGAAAGAAAACTCCTTTGAGTCTGGCAGCGAAAACGAATACGAGCGTTTGTCTCTGAATAAGTAAACGTAAATGTGAAGTTTGGTTATACGCGACCCTTAGTGTAAAGTTTTTAATCGAAGTGACACCCGAGGAAAAGTTGTTTACATATCGAACCTGCAGAAACTTTCACCAGTGAAACGAGCAGAATGGAAGAGTTGATACTATTCTGACAGAACATGGACGCGATAGTAAACACTTTTGTTTACAGAACAGCAGAATATGCGAAGAGTTGGATTATATTTTTTTATATAGGAGTATAATACCGCTTTCATCTCTCCAGCATCAAAGTTCCCCTCAACTTCATACTTTTTTTTTTTTTTTTTTTTAAGTGATACATTTACCTTGTCAATATTTCGTTCCATTAAATTTAACTCTTCTGTTTGTTTTGCAAACATATTACAAGGTTTTTCACTCGCTGTAAATCTGTAAATAAATGTTTGCCAAAAGGGTTGTAATACTCTTCAGCTCGAGAGATACACGTTCATTCGGATAGTATTTAAAAATCAAAATTTCTCGAAGTCCCGATAAACGCGTCAGTCACGTTTAGCGAAGATAAGTGTGTTTTTTATATCCGAGAACTAGATAAATGTTTATTTGCTCCGTAACGGAAATCATCGACGCGAATTTCACTTTTCTCGTAGGAGCGCCAAGATAAAATTGATTTCCTGGAATCGACCGTGTAGTTTTCCTCAGCGGTGCTAAAATATTTCCGAGTTTCTACGATTTTTCGTACGTCACGATACACGTTTAGAATGACTTCGTTGAGATTGAATTACTCGCTATTTCATTCAAATTTGTTCTCCATTCTTTTAGATAGAAGATTCTCCCACCTCGATAGATATAGAATCGATCGAGAATCACGAGTATTGCAACAGCGAAGACGTCGTCGTACACGCTCAGCCGTCGACGTTATCTCCTTACACGTTTTTCTCATCCGACAAGAAATTAGATTGATCTATATTGACAGTCGTGAACGCGATCCGTATTATCGGCTCGTTTCAGGAAGCAGACAAAATATCTCGCGCCGTTATCGATGATCCATGGTCAGACTTTACAGATCATTGTTGTGCCACCAATTATCCCTGAATATTTAGTTCGATCATCAACTTGTGCATCACGCAACAAATGATTTCGTACTAATATTTTCAGGAGAAAAACTGCTTCTAAGCTTTTCCGTTTCCCGTCAAAATTCAAACGTCCAAACTGTTACTATAACTCTATTTAAACTCGTTAACTCTCCTGTCATCGACTCCCTGATACCAACAAAACCGCTCGACTCATTATTTTAACGTTTTCTGTAAAATCACGTTTCCTTCGAGTTTTATCGCTAGTGTATTCAAGTCACTCGAGTGGCAAGGTCGGTGTTTAAGGTCTGGTCCACGCGACCGCAGAGAATGATTCATTGAAATTGCGACAAGACGAGAACGAAGCGAACGAATAAACCTGCTCCCGTATTACCTGCCGCAGGTGACTTTATTCATGCGCGTAAATCACGCGGACGAAACGGGTTTTCGCCCGCTTTGGATCAAACTTAGCTTGCGGTTTGCGTGCGCGCATTTGCGCTCAAAGTATGGGAATGAATTCGATACGAGCGATTTATCGTCGCGTTACCCTCGCTAAACGCCTTCTAATAACTATACTGTAAGTCACGTGACTTGTTGGATGCACTAAAAAGCACGTGGTAGTTTTATCGAGGGATGAAACGTTCTAAAACCTCGGGGAACCTCCTATTTTAATAAATAGAATATAGTACACGAATATAATATAAATGAATACCAAAGGATGATCCAAGCATGAGGTTCATTGCCTCTTTCGGAATCAATTACACGCTCTCATTTCTAAAACAACTAATTCCCAAAGAAATATCCTCTTGCGATCGATCCATAGAGATATTGAAATGATACATTTTAAAAATCATAATGTCGAACACAGACAACCATAGAAACGAAGCAGAATGTAGACAAGCTTTCCATCGCGGATTATTTATCGAAACGACGACGATTATGGCCTTATCACGGCCGTAATCGCGGAATCGAGTTCTTTTTCTCCCAGCCTATTTTCGTACCCGTATCTCTCTCGGAAGTGTGCTCCAGCGTTGGCTGCAGGATCCTTGGAATGCTTTTTTAAAAGCGCGCAAATAAGGACGGCTGCGGTTAGGACGCGATAAGTGTCATTGTCCCAGCGTCGTTCTTTGCGGTCGTCTATCAGCTTCCGGAATACGGCCAGATCTCCTCGAGGCGATCGTGTTCCGACGCTTCTTGCGACCAATTAAAAAAATTTGCAAACAATACGCACCGTTATCGCGTTGACGCGAACTACTCGCGCGAAGGGGGAATTCTTTGACATCCAGAAGGGGACGTCTACCTTTGTAATAAAAATTTTAATCGATTTTCGATCGAAATGTCCGACTGGAAAACTTAGACCTAACTTCATCCGACTGTTTCAATCCCGAATTAAATTCTCACGGTACTATGTTGCTGGTTTCATCTCGTAGATGTTTCGGAGCTCGCGTTTTCTCCCTTTTTCTAACGTTGAAACGTTTTTATTTGTTTCAGTTACTGTCAAGAGTGGCCCCGATCAGGGACACGACAACGAAGCGCAAGCGGATGCTGCATCGCCACCATCCAGTGTAAGTTTCACTCACCAATCACTTTTTTCGTGAGCAGTACCGATTGACAGCTTCTTTAGAGAGTCAATGTACTGTGTCCGCCTACTTTAGGACCTATACTTCAGAATTTCCCTCTTACGTCTGACAGTAACATTAAATTTAACCCCAGTGTCAGCACCTTAGAGTTCCTTTGCATGAGTTCCTTTCCTCGGGTACCACAAAGAAGAATTGTCAATTGATACATCGCGCATCCCATCTTGTTTCCCCACACCATAACCTACCAAACTAAGCAACATTCATCCCAGCCTCGAAACTCAGCGATCCAATTTCGATGTAATTTTTAGGTGGACCTACCAGAGAGCGCCCATCCCTGCCCCGCCTGTCCAACAGTGCTGCCCAGCTCCCGCGAGCTGACGAATCACCTTCGCGGGCACAACTCGCCGCGCAGCACCGACTGCAGCGGCGAGGACGATTACTGTTGCGGGGTATGCAACAAGGTGCTGAGCTCCGCCAGCTCGCTGGACAGGCACGTATTGGTTCACTCCGGCGAACGTCCGTTCAAGTGCAAGTATTGCGAGATGGCTTTCACGACGAACGGGAACATGAACAGGCACCTGAGGACCGCGCATCGCGCCACCTCGCCTCACAGTTGCACCGACTCCGAGGGCAGCAGCGACTCCGAGAAGCCCATCAAGGCTGGACACATCGAGGAGTATAATAACAACGAGATAGCAAAGAGGAACTCGCCCGATTTCATCGACAGACAGGAGAAATCGACGAGTCTGACGGGGAAACGGAAGTGCACCGACTACCTGAGCGACAACGAAGGCCAGAAGAGGCACAAGATCCTCCTGAATAACACCAACAGGACTGAAATGAAGACGCGGCCAGACGATAGTCAGAACATTTACAATTGCCCCGTATGCGGCAGACAAGATTTCGCTACCAGCGCTCTGTTGGAGGCTCACTTGGAACGCAGTCATCCAGAGTTCCCTGCCAAGTGCGACGCGTGCAATCTCTCCTTCAAGAACCACCGAGTCCTGAACCTGCACCGATTCATGATCCACTTCGCGGAGCACTCGATAGGGAACACCGCGAGGAATCTGAGGAACTCCGTCGTAGGGTTCAACGACCTCACCTTCGTCGACTTTTCGTCCGACAAGTTCCCAGCGATCGCCAGGGCGGTCTGCGAGCAGTCCCTTCACCGACCAGCCTCAGGCGAAGTAGCCAGGTTCCAGTGTTCCAAATGTCTGCGCGCGTTTCCATGTAGATCGGCTCTGGACGCCCATGAGACGGACTGCGGGACCTCCAGCCCTCAATCCAGAGCCATCGACGACAGCCAATCAAGGAGGGACGATTTCTTCGCCGGTTTAGACCTGCAGAACAAAGCTGCTCTCACGGAAGCCAAAGAAGGCAAAGACCTAGCCGACATTCAGAGTATTATATCCGTCACGTCGGGGCCTATACTTCAGAACTTTCCTCGATCGGACGCCAGCACTCCCGAGAGCAACATCAAATTCAATCCCAACGTCAGCTCCTCGGGGTCCTCTGGCACGTTCTCCACGGAGTTCCACGAAGAAGAAGCTCAGGACGCGTTCGCTGCCGAGTTCCGAAAGATGAAACTGAAAGGGGAGTTCCCTTGCAGACTCTGCACGGCGATATTCCCGAATCTGAGAGCCTTGAAGGGCCACAACCGAGCCCACATGGGCGTAGGTCCTGGCATGCCCTATCCCTGCAACATGTGCCCCTATACCAGCACCGACAAAGCCACCCTGGTGAGGCATCTGAGATCTCACAACGGCGATAGACCGTACGAGTGCTCCTTGTGCAACTACGCCTTCACCACCAAGGCGAACTGCGAGCGCCACGTGCGCAATCGTCACGGCAAGCTCACCAGGGAGGACATCAAGAGCGTGCTGATATATCATCCAAACGAAGACTCGACGAACGAGACGGTGGAAAGGAGTTCGCCGAGGGTGATGAAAGACGACGTGAGGAAGAGCTTGGTGTACCCCAGCGAACGGGACGAGCTCCATCTTCAGACTCAGATGCATTATCCATCCGTGCCTATAGAAGGTCGCGGCGAGATCAGGATCATCGAGGAGGCCAAGCTGCACAACAACGCGCTATCGATGCACAACTCGAACCACTACGATAAAACGGAGGCGTTCTCGAGGCCTACGCAACCGATCGAGCTGACGCAACGAAACGACGATAGAAAATCGGCGCTGGACGGCAAGCCGGACTACGCAAAGCTCGACGAGGATCTCGAGTCAAGGTCATCGGAAGGCAGCGCGTCTCTAGTCAGTGATACCAAATCAGATTCGCACCAAAGAATACAAGCTAGTCCGATGAACTTGAAGAAGGGTCTGAACGTGTCCGAGAGCGTCGGCGAGGACGGCCCTCTGGATTTGTCGATGGACGTCCTGGATCTCAGCAAGAAGTCAAAGGACAAGGAGGACGGTGATTTCGCAGGGTCGCAGGAGCATTACGGAAAGAATCAAAAGGAACTGTACAACGCTACCAGCCAGCTGTTGCTCACGGAGGCTTTGTTGAAGGCTGGACAGGGTAGCTCTCAGCCTACCTCTTTGGAGGCACTCTACGCGAACGCTCACCTGATTTACAGGAACTTTGGGACCTTTCCTCCAGGCGTGGGGGCGGGAATTCTACCACCGTATCTGTTCAACCCGCACGTCTTCGGTCAGGACTTTACGATGAAGGACAGATTGCAGAAAGAGCTGGTGAGGGGCCTCCAGTTGACCAGCGGTGGGACTCTAGTCGAGCCCTCCATCGGAGGCGCCGGATTCACGGCTTTCCCACCGGGTAGAGATATTAACGCTCAAGCAGCTAACGAGCAGAGCGACTACGCCAAGCTGATCTCGTCCAAGATCGCCAACAAGGCTCTGTCCGGCCGCGAGAAGCCAGAGAACCACATACCATCCGCGAATTCCGTGAAGATGGTGATCAAGAACGGAGTTCTGATGCCTAAACAAAAGCAACGTCGGTACAGGACGGAGAGACCGTTCACCTGCGAGCATTGCTCGGCTAGATTCACCCTGAGGAGCAACATGGAGCGACACATCAAGCAGCAGCATCCGCAACACTGGAGCCAGAGACCCAGAGGAGGACACTCGACCAGAGGAAGACCACCGTCGAGTCATCCGGCGTTATTGCAGAATCTCGGACAGCCTCCCTCTCAGGTGGCCCAATCGTACCCAAGCATTCTACCAAAAGTGGAGCAACCAGCTAATTCCGAGTACACCAAGCATCCAATCTCGGACCAGGTGAAGTACGCGATCCTGGCGCAGCAGTTAAAGACTAACAAGATCGAAGACAACGACTCGGAGGAGGAGCTCGTGATCGACGAGGATCCGCAAGAGAAGGACGCTCAGGAATCTCAGGAGCAGAAGGAGAAGTGCACCAGTCTGCTGAGGGGACAGTTGGAAGCAGAGACGGTCAAGGAGGCAGTAATCAAAGAGGAGGTTGAGGAGCCCGTGAAGGCCGATTGCGAGTCCTCCAACACAGAGTCCGCGCACAGCGACAATGTTAACGAGGAAGCGAAGACGTTAGGCGCGAAGAAACCCGCCGAACCTGAGGACGTGATGAGCGATAACGCAGGCGATGGAGTGTTCAAAACGGAGCAGAACGAAGAGAAGCCTGAGAAGATAGAAGAAGGAGCCGCAGATTTGGCGAGTGTCTCTGAACTCTTAGACAACGCCTCCCAGCAGTACCAACAGTTCCAGCCGCAATATCTCAGCGACGAAGAGGGCCTGGTGGCGTCCAATAGCGACTGCAACAACTCTGGTAGCGACGAGAAGTCCGACTCAGTGAACTCACTGAATTCCGTCAGCACCGCCTCGCCCAAGAAGAAAAAGAAAAAGAAGAAGAAGAAGAAGAAGTCCGCGTACTCCATGGCGCCCAATCGCGTCATCTGTCCGTACTGCGAGCGACCTTTCCCATGGACGTCGTCCCTGAGGAGGCACATCCTGACCCACACTGGACAGAAGCCTTACCAGTGCGTCCACTGTTCCCTCCTCTTCACCACAAAATCCAACTGTGATCGTCACCTGCTGAGGAAGCACAAAGCGAACCCGAACAAGATACGCAGGGTCAGGAACTCTTCGTCGCCCGACAGCCAAGCGGTGATCAACAACAACAGTTCCTTCTCCATGAGAAACGTTCCAGAGAGACCGTACAAGTGCAACCAGTGCCCCAGCTCCACGTTCTCCACCCTGGGCAACCTGAAGAAGCATCGTTCGACCAAGCACGCGCGCAAGATGAAGTGCAGGTCCGATACCCCGTCCAGCGAGCCTCAGAACAGTCCTCAGGAGTGCTCGAAGCAGAACGAGCAGACAGATTACGACAGCCAGTCGTCGAGCGTTTCTGAGAGCATGGAGACGTCCTCCGTGACGGAGCTGCCTAAGGCGACCGCGAACACCTTGCCATCCGCCGTCGACACGCCTAGGTCCAGGAGACCCTCGCCAAGATCCTCTCCTGGACCCAGCGACGTGCCGTTCAAGTGTCACCTGTGCGACTGCGGTTTCGCCGAGAGACAGGACTGCTTGGAGCACATAAAGATGAATCACAAAAGGTCGTACGAGATGCTCGTGGCCAAGGGTGCACTAGACATGGACATCGACACGGCGGAGGACCAGCAGCAGCATCCGCCGCCCCAGCACCCCAGCGACGGCGAAGAGAAGAGAGGACGCTTCCCTGACTACAGTAACAGAAAGGTAAGGTTTCGCGTAGCCAAGCGATTTTCACAAAGATACTGTCTCTGTGGGGATTCTGTTCGCGTGATATAAAGACAAGGGTGTGAGCACCTCTGCGCCTCTTATAATTTCCAGTAAAAATCGTCCCTCAAGGGTTCATACAGTAATTGAATTTATTAAGGAACACGTGCAGAAAGACGTAGAGAAAATCCTCTTGTCTTTACATCATGATTCCCCGCGTTTGCTGTCTGATTCGGCCGCGCTCAAGTGGACTGCTTGTTCTGTAATAGATCTGTGATTAACGAAGAATCCCAGCATCGACTAAAAGGTTGGCTCTTCCAACATTTCCAGGTGGTCTGCGCTTTCTGCATGAGGCGGTTCTGGTCCGCGGAGGATCTGCGCCGCCACATGAGGACCCACACGGGGGAACGACCGTTCTCCTGCGACATTTGCTGCAGAAGGTTCACGCTGAAGCACAGCATGCTGCGACACAGGAAGAAACACGAGTCCATCGACTCGACGATGTACGTGGGGACCAGCGGCGACGAGGAGAACTCGCCGGTACAACCTTCGCCCATCACGCCTCGAAGCCAGCAACAGCCACCCGTCCTGGTGGCTGCCAACTCCGGGAATCCAAGGATCCAGGACCGAATCTCGTTGCCCACGGTCGCGCCAGTCGCCACAGCGGACGCGGCGCCCAGCGGCCTGATGAGATTCAATCCCTACGAGAAGCTGACCACCCTCACGGGGAAACTGGCCGGTATGCCGCAAAACGCGAATCCCGACGCGACCGAGAGCGCCGACAACGACTTGATCTCCAATTTGTTAGGGATAAGAGACAAGAGCTTCATCGATCGGGTGCTGCAAGCGTCAGCTGACGATGCTGCCAAGTTGTTGGGGGTGAAACGCAGCCAGGAGTGAAGCTGCTTTCGCCTGCTGTCCCTCGGACATTTTCACGACCGTGCCTTAGGTTCCTCCTCTCCTCGCGCTGAGAAATGAAGTCGACTGGAGCTATCTTTGATACATCTTTGTCTTCTGGATCCTTTTCGCTACTGCAACAGCCACCGTAATGGTTCGTTGCTGAAGGTCCGCGGAAGCAGTTACTGTACTGACTGTTCACAGAGCTCAAGTAAGTTCGTCGTGTACGAGAATGTATTTTACGAATTGACTCTATTGTAGCGAAAGCGTGGTCTCTAACTACATAGATTATCTCGGATGTTTTTACGGGAAAGATTCGCTGCTGGATCCGTCGGGACTAAACAAAAGGCACGATGCTCTTATGTAGACGTAACGGTATCTTATGACTTTGTTTCAATCTCTATTTATTTCGTAAATATTATTCTTCGATATACACTGCCCATCCCACGATAAAAATACCATCTCGTTCGAGTAACGCTTCAGTTCTGAGAGAAAAGAATTATCGCTCGCTTGTACTATAGATCGAAGTTATCATAGTATTAATGGTGGTTTCTTGTCTCTCAGGAACGAACACCCTGCGATGGTATTTTTATACAAAAATCGGATCAGTAGTGGCCACTCCAGTTCAAGCTAAGGAGAGCCAACGATTCCAGCAACGAACGCGTCGATTTCAAAGATCAGCGACTGCCAACAGGTCGGGAGGAACGCGTATCGATTTCGAAGGTGCAGCACGACATTACCTTTTACAGCTTACAGTTAGCTACACGACCGGTGACGTTCAAGTCATTGTCGGTTCTCGCTGCGTCGGTAACGTGCCTATAATCTCTAGTTTCTTTCGTACTGCGCGCGCGTTTCGAAACGCCTAGAGTGTGTACCAGCGTGTATCTGTATCTTTCTCCCTCTCTCTGCATTGTGTACATATATTATACCCACGCACGTGTGAACCACACGTCTCTAGAAAGTGTTAAGGACCTCGTGCGCCAAAAGGACGCGGACAGCCTTGCCAATACGAGGACGAACGCAAGCAAACGAGTAGAATACGAGTATGCCCGCGCCTCGAGGTACCGCGGATAAGCTCTATTGTCTGTCAGAGTTTTTTCCCATTAATCGAACCAGTTCCACCTTGACGGATCGGGCCGTACTCAAACCCAAAGATACGTTTTACACAACGAATTAAGTTAGCCATATACGTACTTCTATTTATTGTTTCGTCACGTACTTAGAGCCGGGAATTCGCAGCGCGCAACGAGGGAAAGTTCTCTTATTTTTGTTTTCTCCCCTCCCTATCGATTACTCGAGTTTTGGGAGCAAAGTCTCGAATCGAGGCTCTCGATAGACGGAAACGAGACTAGGACCGAAAGAAGGATCGAAACGGAACCTTTCGATTGGTAACGTAAGGTACGTTCTCTTTGTCGTTATCGTGCAAGTCGAAGACGCATGGTCGACGATAATATGCAAAATAGAACAATATAGAAAAAAGTTTATCTTGATATATATATACATATGTAATAATCGATTTCTATTCCGTCGCGTAAAGATTACTTGTATATAGATAGCCTAATTAAAACACTCTTGGTAGGTCTATGTTTCGCGTCGTGCATAGTCCACGTTAAATGAGTTCTCTGAGAAGGAAACGATATTTAAATGCAATTATACCAAATAATCGGATTCGGTTCGATCGGACGGGACGCCTGTGAAGCTAATCGAACCGACCGATCAAGATTTGTACCTCCTAATCGTCATACTTTTTTCCCCTTTCCTTGTCCCTGTCTCTCACTTTCTCTTTCTTTCTTGCTCTTCACCATTTCACTCTACGATCCCTGTTTGTGCGTCGCATACACACACACACACACACACACACACACACACACACACACACACACACGTGTTACTTCCTTCCGTCTTCATCCGTTTCCCACCCTTTTGTCTCTCTTTTTAAGCTCACTGTATTTATTCTTTCGTAGCGAGAGCGGCTGCGTAGGGATTAGGGATGTTCGATCCCTGTAAGAAAAATCGATTCTGGGGGATCGATTTTCGTACTTGAAATTGAATTACTCGAATCGATTCTCCGAATAATCGTTTTCCCAACTATTTACTGTATATGACGTATATGTTTGTATATTTGGAAATTTTTTTTTTTTTTTTGTAAGATAGATTTACGTATTTGTATTAACGGCATCGTAAAGGACGAAATTTATTAGAAATTTAGTAGTAATTTAGTTATCGTTGATTAATCATTTATTCTGGCGTTGATGATGGTAAATTTAATAGTAGTAACCGTTAAGACTGCTAGAACGTTCATGATCTACGATTAAAGGGTACTGTCTGATAAACAGTTTTCGATACGTATTTGTTGTTAGAGAAATCTGTTTGGTTATATCGCGAAAAAGGGAACAGACATCCATGTGCAATTCGAATTGAACTAGAGGAAGTTGGACGAGTCGAGGATCGATTCTTGACCGAAAGCATTAGATTCTCGACGAAATGATCGATTTGTATCGGAGCTCGCCGCGTTGGTATCGTTTTGTAATGTCGACGATCGCCTCGTGAAGATCGATTTTCTAGAAAATCGATACAGAATCGAACATCCCTAACGTGAATCGACGTGCGCTCGTCGATAGGTCGAGAGCCGTTTAAAGTTTGTCGAGGGGTGCTTTAAGTTTCGCTTTTAAGCGGGTCTCGCTTCGAGTTCAAGCCGACTCGAGTATATTTTTTAGGTTCCTTCTCGGTGTTGTGTCACACACGTATCGCGCGGGATATTTATTACAAAATAAATTACTTAGAGTTTTAATTAACATCCATGTCAACCAGTGGCGTACCCAGTAACTCTGGAGACTTGTACGGGCAACTTTTATTTGGTATTTCTTTTTTTTGTACATTTCAAATCATTATACATGGTAAACATTAATTTGTTTTCCAATCCTTTAGGCGCCCTACTGCCAATACTTACTATTGCAAAATTTATATTTACCAAAAGTACACTTAAAAATCGATACATGTTTTATTTGTCTTGAAATCACACGTTTGGCCACGCCACTGGTGATCACTGGTGAAAATGGACATCGAGATCTACGATGAATTCGTTGCACGTTGTAATGAATAAAAAAAAAAAAAAAAAATAATAACGTTTTGTCATCGCTTCGGCCAATGATTCGCGTCGAGCCGCCGAAGACGAATCCATTTTGCGAGTAAACCAGCGGGTTAATTGCTCCGGTAGTTTTAAGGTTGGTGCGTTCCGGGGTCACGGCGAGACGGTTCGATATTATCTCGATCGAAACGCGAGCATGTCCAGTGAAATAATCGACGGTGCGCGCGTTCAATGCGAGTCCTGCGTGAACCCTACGCGTGTAAATATAGAGATACTGAAAACGTATGTCGATCGATCGTGCTCGAAACTTAAGGAAAAGGAAAATCCCACGAGAATTTGTACATTTTCTTTCGTTGTCATTTCGACTGTGTATTTATTGATGGGAGTATACGTAAGAACGTTCGAAAATGAAACAAACATTATTCAAATCAAAACACACGTTAGCTTTCTCTCATTTTTTTTTTCTTTGTAAGTTTCTAGGAAAACGAACGCCTGTAATTTCGCTGTGAATCGACGTTTCTTCGTTAACGCGCGTCCATGGAGCAATGACGTAGCTGATCGATTGATTTATTGAAAAGAGAAAGGGTACATGGGGGTGTTCGGATTCCACTGATTTATTTCCACTTTTTTTCTACAATGAAATGGCTACAAAGCGAAGGAATAACGTGACAAAGGTATCGCATGTACGTGAAAATAACGCGCAGGAGATGTTCAGCGTCGACTGCAACGCGTAATATCCTCTGCGCGTCTACCTTGCGCGTGTGTTAGCAATCCTTCGTGTGTCAGCTCAGTTTTATTTATCAGGAAAAATTAGAATTGTCAATTATCGTGAGCTGAGGGGCGAGAATTACAGAACAACAGCACACGAATGCCGAAAGTGAGTCTAAACAGAACGCTGTTTGGACTATTTTTAATTGTAATGATCTATGAGAGTAATATAATTAAAAATAAATGTTAGCGTTGTGTTGGTAATAGGTAAAGGTACAATGACTGGTCAGCTAAGTTTCTCGAAGGCTTTCGACGATTTACGAATACGTCGATGCACGAAAAATAAACAAGAAACGTTGATTCGGCAAATTAATTAATGTTCATGCGTCGCGACGTGTCGGTGAAATCTACATAAAAACAAAATGTACGAAGTATGTAAACGATAAAGATCTATTTATTAAAGTGACGAATACGTTTGAAACTTTAGAGTGACGTTTTTCTTGATTCGAATTAAGAGAATTTAAGCTATGGAGTAATTATTGTAGCGCACGTGTACATGATTATGTTGTATCCTTGTTTAAACTTTGCCTATGAATAAGAATATACGATATCAAAATGATAATCCGACGATTCATTTTTGCACTCCCCCTTTCGAAACATAGATATAGACGTAATATACGATACGATAGACGTAACTATAAAATGTTATTTCAATTGGAGACGGTAAGTATTTAAACAAAATTATATTTTCATAAGTATAATAGACGTATTTATTTGTTTTACGCGAATTTTCAATTAAATATATTTAAATTCACGTTTAAAAAATACGTTGAGGTCATTAATAATACTATCCAAAGGTGGGAAAATGATTCAGAAGCAATTGTTTATATAATTTTAGTTTAAATTAATTCAAAGTCCGATTTGTATTTAAATGCATGCGGTCATTTTCTGGTTTTCGATGATATCGCCGTCTAGCGGTCAACACACCGAAGCTCGATTCCGTGAGTTCGACAGAGAACGCACTAATGTGCGACAAAGATAGATGTATGCGCGTGAGTGCGACAGAGAACGCAATAGCGTGCGACAACGATAGATCTATACGCGTGAGTGCGAGAGAGAGAGAGAGAGAGCGCACTAATGTGTGACAAGGATAGATCTATGCGCGTGAGTGCGAGAGAGAACGCAATAGCGTGCGACAGGGATAGCGACTATTGACATCACGCCGCCGAATGTTAATAGACATTATCATTAATTTCTTAACTTTCCCTGGATCATTTGTGAACCTTTGTAATCATGGTGTCAATTATAGATCAATATCTTCGTTCAAGGACTATTTTTAGTACAATTTCAATTGTTGTTAAGTAATTATCAGTCATTATTGCAAGGTGGTCACATGCGTGGCATCGCTAGTCCTCGCATTAATTAATTGTTTCTAAACTTTCTGCAAAGATTTTATGCATTTTGACACACCATAAATAAAGTCTGGATCAGCAGCAACATTCGTGGACCATTTTTTATACGATCTGAATTGTTATTAAGTAGTATAAATTAATAATAATACATGTTAACGTTCAGCGTGGCGACAAAATGGCTGTTGTATAGTCGCTATCCTTGTCGCACATTGATGTGCTCTCTTTCGCACTTACGCGCATAGATCTGTCCTTGTCGCACATTTAGTGCGTTCTCTCTCGCATTCACGCGCATATATCTATACTTGTCGCACATTGATGTGTTCTCTCTCGCACTCACCCAATTGAGCTTCGGGGTGTTGGCCGCTAGATGGCGAGTCGATCGGTTGGTCTGATTTCGGCTATTTTATAGCGAAAAAATATAAAACATTAATGTTTTTATTAATTAATCGGTTTTAAACAACTGAAACTTTAATTTTCAAAGAAAAAGCCCTTCTACACACATATGGTATAGTATATGGATGGTACAATAGCCTAAAACATGTATACGTGTGTATTTTTATAATTTATAATCTTTTCACCATCGAAATGCCATTATTTATAAGTCGAAGGATGAAACAAGGGGACAGGGAATAATTAGAACACGAGAAGCCCATTTCCACAATTTTATTACCCGTCAAATACTATAATATTTCACTAATAATAACGTCCAGTAAATAATGTCAATAAGGATAATAAATTATTAAGAGCAACCAAGCGTGCGTCGCTATGTACACATAAATATTACACATTTCACTAATTTGCGCACTACTTTAAAACTCTATCGACAGAGTAGCGTCGAATGCCGATATAAGAAAGACTCGCTTACACTTATAATTTTTTTTTTTCATTATTATTAATATTATTATTATTATTATTATTCTTAAATCTTTGCACTTCCACTTTCCAAGTCGCTCGGTGAGACATATATTGTCAAGGGATAAAACCTCGCGCCCGTTGTTTCGTTTCAACGGAATCTGCCTGTTAAAATGTTTCGCTTGTTACGGGTTATATAAACGTGTGCGTTCAACGAGAAAGACACTCAACTATTAAATGACCAAACAACATCGAGGCTCGTACAGAGCTTTCTATTAAAAAGATTCTCTCAATCTTAAACGTTCGAAGTAGCAATGCTTACTCGCTACTCCGAGCGCGTTAAAACATCGTCATATATTTTCCTTAATCGTTTCTCGAATTACAAACGGTTACCAGATTTACTGGTCACCAGTTCGAAAACTTTGAGAAACGACGAAAATCGTCGAGAAAACACGAACAATGTGTATATATATCTATATATATATATATATTCATATATCAATTAAATGGACACGTCGTCGCTACAAAATCTCTGTTAACGGGATACAAACGATCCTAAATAAATCATCATTAAGTACGTAACGTTAATGTACGATACTGGAGAAAAGCTATGGCGCGCCTCAGAGTTGAGCAAAGTATTATTCGAATAACAGATGCCAAATAAAATTTCTGCATACAACTGTATATAGCTGTATATAGCTTCGTAGTTATTCTTTCAATTGTGAAACATAATTTAATTATAATTTTGATTAAACCAAATAATCGATTAAAGATTATTTATCTTTAATCTATTATTCGAAACTTACCTTCGTTACCTAGACATGAATTTTGCTCATCTCTGATGTGCATGCATACATATGTATATGCACAACCCGGAAGTATTCATCGAGACTCTTCTTGTACGTGTTTTAAAATACACGGGTACACGGGCAAACGAACATGTAAACGACATCACAGATTTTTTTTTTTTCAATTTCTATTATTACCATTCACTATTGTCGAATATTACTATTCCAACGATCAAACGCAACGGCTCCCCCCAAAATGGTGGAAATTAAGCGAGGTTGAGTTTCGATAGCAAAATCAACGAAATATCTTTTAAATATCTCTTATAAAAATAAACTGTTTACAGCCGAAAAATGTAAATGCATTACTTCCTCTTTATCGAAATGGAAATGTACAGAATATTATTTGTAAAGTAGCATAAATGAAAATGAAATGAAAAAGAGGGGTGGACTCGACGAATCCGCTATTCAAATGCAGAAAAATTCAACAAGTAGCCCCAGCCATAGTATCAACACGTGAAAACAGTATCACGTGTTTTATTGCGCGCAACTTTGAAACCACGTGTACCCGTGAAATGGGGGACCCTATTAAAAGCTACGGCCGCACACGCACGCACGCTTCGTGTAAGAAGAAAGCGGACAGAACATGGAAGCGATCACAAAATTACTACTACATATATTTACACGTATTGCAGCGTTCTGTGATTTCAGACGTTAAAAGCGGTTTGCCATTCGATAAACTTATCTTATACGATTCTCTTAATCTCCTCATCTTTTTGTATCATTTTTTTTTTTGTGTCGTTTTCATATAAACAAATCGATAGCACTTTTAGGCATTCTTTTCACATACAGATAACATCCATCCTATATGCACTCATAAATAAATTTAACGTAGACTGAGAGTAATAGGATTAATTAGGTCGTTGGCGATCACAATACGCCAAAATCATCATGCTACAGTCTGTCGTTCACTTCTAAACTGGCATTCGGTTGTGTCAAGTTGTCCGTAGAGAAGTCGAACGGTTGTTGCACTTGGTCATTGACGTCCCCTTCGATTTTAACCGCGTTACTACTTACCTCGTTGTTGCGTACTATGTCAGCCGCGTTCGACGGGTTCTCCGTGTTTACGTCATTCCTTTTTACATCTTCTGCCTTTACATCCTCGGCTTTTATTTCCTCCTTGATCATGAACGCCTGCTTCTTCGATTTCGGTTCTCGTTTCGTCTCCGTTCGCGAATCCGTTCTCTCGTACATGAAGGTTTGCCGTTTCCTTTTCATCGGTTTGCATACTTTCTTGTATAACACGTTCATTTCTTTTATTCTGCTGGTAGGTATTGTCCAGTCCATCTCTTTAGACGTTGTGTCGGAGTTGCGTGTAGGATCCATCGTGCTCTCGTACTCGGGGATCTCTAGCCCCAGCTTTTTCATCACGCTGATTATTATCTCGTCAACGTTGCCGTTGATTATCAAGTCCGCCTTTTTGTCCTGGAATCACAACATTGCTTGTACTTTGGCTCATCTTAATCTCAAAGTGTTAACGTATCACTCACTGCATTACATGTGTTATAGCTTCGTTAATTAATTAAAGGATGGATAAGTGATCTTACATGTTTTGTAGGTTGTAGATTGCATATAACGAGTCGACCTCCATACTTTTTGGTATACAGAGGCAAATTTCCGCTGGGTATAATTTGCAGCGTCGTTCCAAGGCATATGCTCAAGTCCGCGACACTGTAAATGCGTTTACTCATACAATTTCTGAACCAACAGTCGATGAAATATCATGTAAATGAAATATAATTGTCAACTGAAACCTGAGATATCGATATGGGATTTTTTGATCAAGGGGATTTTTCCAAAATACTTTTTTTTGGATACTCGCGCGGGTACCGAGCATCAAAATTTTTAAACGTCTAACATGTACTTCAACAACCATGAAACGCACGTTAGGCACTCTTCTTTTTATCTGTTCGCAAAAAAACACCAATTTTTTAGTAAGATACATTAAGATCACATTTACAGAGTGTGATCATTTTTAAATAAATTTGTATGAAATTTCGGTTCGTGAAACCTTGAACAATGCCTCAGGAGTTCCATCTTTTGTGTGCCATAATAGGAAACATAATTGCTCTTAAAAGTACACGAACATCTTTATTACTGTACAAGTATCCTTTGAGTTACCTAGAATGCAAATCGGACAATGTGAGATCGCTGTCTGGCAAGTTGTGTTCCCAATCAAGGATTGTGTCGTGCATGCGACCACGGCATGGACGACCACCTATCTGTTCAGATCTACACACAGTGTCAAGCGATTTCTTGCCCACGCTTTTAGTTGCAAAATTCCGAATAAATTGTCTGAAATAAAATACAATTATTAATTAATTTAATTAATTACATAGCTTTCCTTTTCCACAATTTTCTTCAAGGTATACCAACCTGCCGCATTTATCACATTGTTCTGTAAACATATTTCCATGCAACTCAGCCAGGTGTTGTCTCTGCACTCCTGATCGAAGGTGCAAGCCATCGATGTTCTGACTTATAATGAATTTGACTTTTTCTAAAAGAGTTTATCGAAATTAGTTTAAAATTGTTCTTCTTGACATGTGGCTGTTTCTCACTGTTACAATCGTACTCACTAGCATCCACCAATTTCTTCAATGCCATGTGTGTCTTTGTAGGTATCGCTTCGTCGAAAGAAATACTCATTGTAGCTTTCAAACCCTTCTGCTCCAAAGTCCATACTCCATTTGTGCCTCTAATTAATCGAATACAATGCATTCCAAATGAAAAATTGTATTGGATTTATTTGAAGAAAGAAAATCATATTTTTATTCTGCTTTATCAGAAGTAGTTAAAAGTTGGTTGGAGAATGATAGACTGCAAAGGTAGGTATGTAACATAGAAGTGCGTTCTTTAACAGCTTGAAGAGAACTTAAAAGAGCACACCCCAAAAATTTGTACAATATTCCAAAAGGTAAGTCTGAATGTTGAATCAAGATATTTTATTTAAAAAAATATATGGATATCAATTGTGTAGTAAGTAACACTACAAGTAGACACTGTTAACAACAGTTACAAAGGGCAGGGATTGTTATACTCAATATTTGCATACTTCTAAAAACAAATTTGTATCATAATATATTTCTTAAAGGCTTGACATGACTAATGACTAAGGATTACTCGGTAATCATAGCTAATAATTAATATATGTATAATAGTGACTAACGAAACCTTCTCAAAAATTATTTGTCAATCGCAATTTCTTTTGAAAAAACATTTCTGACTAATTTATTCTGACTAATGATCAGGCATAATTTTAGTTATTTTTCGATCTTATAATATTTGCATAGCTGTATATTTACGAAGGGGTATCATCGAATCCTAGCAACATCGATTCATTATCATTTCAGGACCCATCATCGTCACCGCTGTTGCGCACAACAATGGTGGACGCGCTGACCAAAATGGAATTTCGGTCTGTTTCTTCGCGGCAATCCGTTCCCGCTTGATTAATTTAAAAGAATTGACCGGTGGCGCTTTCGAGCGCACAACAGATCGGAATCGTGGGCCAACGGGGCACGGGGGAGGGGATGAAAAGTACATAGAAGTAGTAGGGTGGGGATTCGAGAGAAAAATTACAAATGATAATCACCGAAAATCCGGAATGCCCGCAGCAGTGCTGATGCCGGCGCCGGTGTGAACGACGACGTGCCGTGCAGCTTGGATCCAATCGGCGAGAAGACCGCATTTCAGTCGCAACGCCTCGACGCTGTCGTATCTCTAAAATGACAGAACGAGAAAAAAGAAAAAAAAAAATAAACTCGAGGGTCAAAGTCGAAAGGGGCTCGACGGTAGACCCGACTCCCGCCAAACGAACGTTTGGGAAACAATCGAGGGAGAACAATTGCTTCTTCTACTACTTCTCTATTTTTCGTTACCTCTTCGAGACCCAGCACTCCTTTGTTTTCGTACTGCGAGAGACCGTCCGCGTAGCTGCATGACATTTTGCCAACGCAAATCGTTCAAAAATTTCAACCACGAAAACCCGTGAAACGACGCTTAACAATGGTTCTCTCGATCCTCTGTGTGTGTGTGTGTTTCTTTTTTTTTTCTCCCGTCTCACAGCACCGTAACCAGCATCGCGACGCCGATATTAACGGGTTTCCATGCGCCGTCCGGACGACACGTAAACAATTTGTAAGTTAATGACCGCGTGCTGTTATGTTTATACGCTACGAATGACGATAAGTGATAGGAAACTCGCGATCCACTGAGAACGCATTCTCTGTTTTATAGACTGCACTGCATGCAATGAAATGGCACTTGAACAGAAAGAAGATAATAAACGTTGCGGCGCGTGCGCGTTTTGCGCCCCTGGGAGAGGTGGGTTTTAGCGTTGCCGACAGCTCGAGTTTCTCGCGTCCGTGCAATTCATGCCTTCGACCAGTTAGCGCCTCCAGCAGCCACCAATCGCGACTAAATCTACTTGGCGCCGTTTACGAAAGTGTTACACGTCCGTTTCCCTTCTTTCATCGTCGTTTACAATAATTCCGACCTCGTCGTACGTCAAAGTTTCTGAAATGTATCAAGAGAGACATTTTCTTGAATACTCTAGGCTTAAAAAAAAAAATTGTACATTACTTTCACCACGTGAATTATATTTTTATTTTGCGAGTTCGCGTTTGTAGTAAAATAAAAGATAGTGTTTTATGTAATTATAGATAAACTACAATCCTCGTTACATCTGTAGATGGTCAACGGAAGATCGAAAACATGTGTACACTGCTTGCACGATTTTTTTCCTGGTTTTATAAAAGTAAATAACTGATGCGCGCCTTTGCAAGGAAGGCTAGGACCCGTATCAGCGTACCTGTACGTTGAGTTGCCTGTTTCCAGGGGTCGTTCAATTAGAAGTACGAGTATAGGTAATTTATTTCTCATATATTTTATTAACACTTTATTAAAATGCTATAACATTTTTAACAAGAATTTGTCCATCAAATTTATGCTGGATCAAATTACACTTGAAACCAATCGCCATTAGCAGAAGGAAGCACACTCGTCCAAACACTCCATGGCGGGTTATTTGGTACGTACCTTTGGTAATACTTTTTACACTATTATTTATACATTTATGTTCTCTTACGCATCGTCAATACGTGGTTCATGTGTTTTTAACGTGGCATTTTCGTATTATAGTTTAATTTTCCTACTTAAAAAGTAAAGTAAGATTTGTTCTCACAAGATCAAGATAAGTAGTTTACTAATGATCGTTATTTCACACTCGTAATGATTATAACGATATTATTAAATAGTCCGCTTTGAACTAGTACGCATCGTTTGTCTGCGGATAGGAGTAAGATAGCACTGTAAAAACTTTCTGTATGTATCGTTATTCCGTGGCCGCTGGTTTCCCCAATGGCTTCGCCTTCCTATCGAATTTCTTCTACACATGGTTCGAGCTCGTCTTGTTCGCGTGAAGACGCTCGATTAAACAAACAAATAAAAAGGAAAAGATGAGGGGTGTCAGGAAAAAAAAGAAAGAAAGTTGCTGAACACGTCGCGGAAGATTTCCTTTGTTGACGTTCGTCCCACACTCCTACCCACGAGAACGGTTTCGTAGAAGGCAATCGTGATATGTCGCCGTCAGACGCGGCGGATCGTCAACAATACGCTGGTCTGACATAACCTTCAAATCCCTCTGTGATCGCAGTACGCTTCGGTGGCGTCAGGGTTTTAACGTCAACTGTCTCGAATGTGTAGAACAAAAAATCATCATCTTCGCAGCGGATGCTTAGAAATTTTTGGACTTTTTCACCGCACGTAAATTGTGAGTATCCTCTTCTTATTACTTTCTTTCTTCTTTTCTCCTTTTTTCGCCTTATCTGTTCGCGTGTCAATGAACCGCCCATTTCAAGATTTTTGTTTTCTTCGCCGAGTTTCGCTAATCTTCCCTTTATTGTAGCATTTTAACAGTGCTTTCAATGAAATTAACGATTCCAGAAGCGATGAAAACAAATGACACGACGTAAAAGTTTTGCACACAGGTGTTTTTGTTATGTATAATGTAGATGCTTCATGAATTATTCATGTACTACTCCAATCATTTTTTTGTTTTTCAACTTTTATGTCGATCATTTTTATCATAAAAGAACGTTTAGATCAGTTGAATGATGAATCGAAGTCTGTGGCATTGAAACTGTAAAATTAATGAAGCTTCCAAACCTTGGTCGTACACAGTGCCTGGTTAATTATTTAGTACAGTTGTTCGAGGTAAGAAGGTTTAGCAAGTTTCTTTGAAATTTGTTACGAACACACGTAGAGTACTCTGTTTGGTCTATAACATTTCATTTCTTGTGAACAATGAAACATATTCTGATTATCTGCTGATTATTATTATTCCTGAAAGTATTTATCTCTACATTTCTCTACATTTATTTAGTATTTCAATTTGAATAAAGTATATTTTCCTATAGTAACTAAACAAATATAGAAAGCAGCAGAAAGATTTAATTAAACTTCTTAATTTTTTAGCTCTTATTTGTTACCTCAATTAACAGAATAATTTACTTTCAAACTTCTCTGAATTCTTAAAACAAAGAACCGATCAAGAAACACTGTATAAAAATTATACACAATATACTTAGAAAATAGTGACACGCTATCGAGCTTGATGTTATCAGCTCTTTATCATTGTCTACATATAATGTAATTCAACTTGCCATAAGTAAGCAATATAGCACCTGCATTTATGAATGCTCAAAATATTATCACATTTGCATCGTTACAATTTCCGTCGACAAATTTCAGTTTCGCGCAACGAACAAATGAAATTTTTTTTTTTTTTTGTTTTTTTGTCCTTGAGCATTCAAAGTCTATAACGTTCTCTGTACTTACATACATGGTCGTGTCTGGATGCCTTGGGTTCCAAAAATAGGCTCCCAAATGTATTCTTCCGGCAGCACATGTGTTTCGTTTATGGTCCCGACGACTCCCAAATGGTAGAAGTGAGAAAATCGTTATTTCGATCGACGATAGTCTCGAATGAACGCCTGCCGGTACCCAAGGCACAAGAATCGAGCACAATCGTCTTTCTGCCATTGTGTAGCGATCGAAACTGACCTAATCGCCTCGGCTATTGATATTCAGATTCTCATAAATTATTTAACTGCGCATAGAATTTTGCGATAAGCGATTGCCTTTCCCCTGCCCTGATCGCCTTGATAACGAATTTCACGATGGAAACGATATTGTTAGATGACGACTAGTGTTTTAAAAATTCAGAAATATAAATGTTTTTTATACAATCTTATCCTAGAAGACAAGTTGCAATTACGTTTCTTACTGTCCTTGCGTTACTTGTACACGATAGCAAGTGAAAAGCGGTTCAAAGCGATCCCGTAGGACGTAACGGTGTGACAGCTACAAATGTAAATAAAAAACTTCTAATCTGTAAATGATAACTTTTATGAAATGTTGTATTTATTACTGCGCGTGTAACGAATGTATGAAACTGCGTGGTCATACGTTCCTTCCACTTTAATAACAGAATCGACGAAATAATATTCGATGACACGGGTGAAACAATAGTAGGCAACAATGAACAAATGAAGATGATGTATGCACTTTGGCAAGCGAGACTTATGTAAAACTGCGTTCGATGGAAGGTCACGATGATATAGCCTTACACGTAATCAATATAGCTTCACGAAATTTATTTTTTCAATTTTAGGTGCGTCGATTAAGAAAGTTGCGATTTATTCCCGTTGCCGTCATTTTCAATTAAACTTTAAACATGAATTAGATATCCATTCCGATCAAATTCGTTTCGTGTTTTTTATTCTAACGAACACCTACTCGAGTTTCAGCATAACGAAAGTATAAGCAAAATTCCGTGACATCGGTGACCTCCGTGTGGTCTAAAGTTAGCCGAGGAAAAAAAGAACATCGTTAACGTAATTCTTATATAAAAATTCATAGATTACTAAGTTAGACAAAATATACGCAACTGATCAAAATATGCTCTTTAAATAACAACAGACCCATTGCGAAAGCAAATTTCACCTAACCGAATAAGAGAAAGCTCTCTGTCCACTGTTTCTAAATTCCGTTCCTCTGTTATACAGCTTGCCAGCGAACGTGTTTAAATGTGGGCGTCGTCAATAGATATACAGAAGCCGTCGAAGGCAAACATTTACATTTAAATCGTATATGGTCGCAATGCACTTGGCAACCACTTTCAATCGGTTGGTCGTTATTTTCGTCTCCTCGATTCTTCAATTAGGTGAAGCGGTTGAGCGTCTCTCGTTTCTATTAGTGAGCATTAAGGTGACGCAAGAATAGCGTTAGTTCAAGGTGCATTCCTAGAAAATTGGTAAACGACTGGCTCGGTAACACTTTCACCGTGACGGAGATGGGCGTACGCTCGACACTCGTGAAATGACACGTCGCTGCAACGGTAACAGAAGTTCGCAGTTGGAATCTGGATTCTTCGTTCGTCTGGTAACTTCTGTGGCCAAGTGCGCGCGAATTTAGTTTGCCGCTCAAGGTCGCGTCCTCGACCGCGAATGACGTCACCGGCTACCCTTTTAACCCACGGATTACGCCGTCTTCCATATCGAACAGACCTAAACTGTACAGTGGGGTCAACCTCTTATTGACTTTTGAGCGACCTGTTGAACTTACGACCACGGTAATTGAGCTATTCAGGCCGTCGATACATTCATTCTCCTCACTCTTTACCCACTTCCGAATTCTTCCCACTTCTTTGTATTCGAGATTTTTTGTTTATTTGATCGATCGAAGAAATATCTCTTTACCCTGCCGAATAAAACAATCGTAAAAGTTTATACAGACACGTCCTAATTGACCTTTGTTCGGAGTTACAGGATTGTAGCTATAAATTGCTCGTTCACAGTATTCTGTGATTTATTGGTATCCTTAATGGGAGATTAACAAGCCAATCTCGCTTCAGTTCCTTGAAACGCCAATAGCACGGCTTATCGAAAGAATCAGCATTAGATTTACGTCACACTTCGTTTACGCACGCCGGTACATCAACATATGTCACTCGAATAGACAGAGTTCTCGAACGATTTCCTAGTACATGTGGCAGCTTTAAATCTTTTGCTTTTTCAACGCTTCGGGTAGAAGTACTTCGACAACGTGTACGCGAATCTTATCGAGGAATTGGACAGTATGTCTGAAATATTTTAGATTTGTTTCCTGCGCGAAGGTAAGTAATTGTACGTTATCGGTGTACAAATATTGTTGCGACTTTGAAACGAGGTCAAATAGGTCATATGTTTACATGTTTACATATGTTTACATCGTTTTCGTATCGCCAATCTATCACCGAAATGGATCCTGGACGTGTTGGGTCGCACCCTGTACACAAGTTAAAGTAATGAAATATATATGACAAGCTAAAATATTATTTTTATCGATCGTTCAAAATATAGACCAAGTAAAATATAGTCACTTGTGATAACCACACATTATTTATTTCCACGTTATATATGTAAATGTACTTATTGTCAGTTAACGATAATTAGCGGCACTAAACAACACATAAACAGTAGACATATAGACATAAACTATCGATTCACTGAAAATAAATTTATCGATACTTCAATATTTCCTCAGAAATGCTGTGAAATCTAGAAATTTATAAATGGGACCATTAAGTATGTGCTAGAAATTATTATTACTCGAAATAATAAAATAAAATAATACCTTCCTTTACAAAAATATGACTATCTGATATACCGTTTCGTATGTTTCAGACAAACTCAAACGCGTATGATGATAAGGGCTCGTTAGTATGCTGGATAAGCGGCGGCTCCATGCCTCTGGTTCATCGCCATGCACCCTGGTTTTCGTGGCTGCTCTGGCGCTGATTGGATGTTTTTCATTCTGGTTGCACATCGACGGATCCAGGTCCCCAACGCCGTACGCCGTCGGTCCGTCGTTGCCAGGATATCTGCTCATATATCCTGGAAACGCGACACCCTCCTCCCAGCCGTACTTAATGAACGAGCTTCCACCCGATGACAGGTCCACGTTGATCGACATCAAGGACTTTAGGTTCACGATCAATCACGATACGTGCAACAGAACGCAACCGTTTCTGTTGATGCTGATACACTCCGCGCCGGAGAACACGCTGAAGAGGGCCATAATCAGGGAGACCTGGGGCCAGCAGACCCAGGACGTGGCGTTACACTTTCTGGTTGGCTCATCCGCGGAGCACCAGGCCAGCCTGGACGAGGAGAATAGGAGATACAAAGATTTGGTACAAGGCAACTTTCACGATGTCTATAGAAACATGACTTACAAGCATGTGATGGCGTTGAAGTGGGCTACGTATCATTGTCCAAGTAAGGGAGTCACTTGTCTCGTTAAGACACCCGGTATTAGAACACTTGAATGATGGATTCGGCGCTTGGAAAAGACAGAAACAGCCCACGTAAACTGTGTACAACTTACTCGACCTTGTATCCATGTTATAGACGCCTCTATATTGTAGTAATTCTCTAGAGAAGCTAATCCATAAACGGACTGTTAGATAATTGCTGGAAAGATGTGTGATATCAAAAGAGATTGTAACATGGAAATTAGGTTAAACGAATTGTATACTTACTTGAAACATTTTTTTATTATTACCAAGTGCCGAGTTCATTGCCAATGTTTTTGGTGCCACTGAAAATTTAATAAAAAAATCGTGGATTTTCTAACGTGTTTCCTTTTTCTATTTGTTCCAGGTGCCAAATATATACTTAAATTAGACGATGATGTTTTTGTTCATATGCCTGCCATGTTGGATTTCTTGAACCGCGATCTATCGCCTTGGGGTGCCAGACGGCTGATTCTTTGCGATCTCCTCCCAATGGGTAACGTCAAAAGATCCTATCGTTCCAAGTGGAGAGTATCACCCCAGGAATATCCTGGTAGACATTATCCCACTTATTGTGCCGGATGGGCCATATTGTACTCTCCCGATAGCGTATTCCTTTTGTATCGCGAAGCTCAGAAGGAGCCATATTTCTGGATCGACGATATCCACATTACAGGGACGTTAGCTAGGAAAGTAAATTTAACGCAAACCTCTCTGCATGACTGGGTGCTAAACAACGAGAACATGCAGGACCTTGTGTCCAATCCGAGTTCTCGTAAGGACTTTCTGTTCGGACCTCCGAATTTAACGGGAAACGAAATAAGAGTCTTACAGAGTCTGGTCACTAAACCACGGCCTAGCAGCGAAAGCCTATTAAACTGAAACACATTTCGGTCATAGCGTACGAAACTTTTCGTTTTACCGCAACAGAAGAACTCTGGTGGCTAATATTTGTCCTGCTTCTCGCAGAGTCTCAATTTTGTCTAGCCATAAATTCCTTGGACATGTGTGTTCAATTCTTTTGCACAGTATTTAAGTATTATATTATATCACAGGGACTTTCACGTCGAATCGCGCATTTATTTATAGCATTCTGTTCTCCTGTAATTATTACACAGCGAGAGAGAAAGTGTACATATGTGTGTCTATTTCTTTTGAAATAGAGAATACGCGCGTCCCTCGACTTACGCGACACTTTTTATATGTTCAGTCTTGTCGTGTATAGTCACGTACGCATAATAGCACGCGTCCTATAAATTCATAAACCTCACGAACCCTATTGAAAGTATATCAACTTCATAATCATTATCATATTCACCACTTATCTCTTATAAGCTTATTTACGATTAATGTAAATTTGTTAAGCTTCGGATTGTTGCGGCTAAACATACTATACAGATTTTAGTATCTTTATCATCTTTATGTACGTGGTTTTTTTTTTTTTTTTACTGTGTAAGAAATAATGCGGCATGGAACGTACTTTCTGCTTAAATCGAGGGGCGAATGTATTTAGGTTTTAATGGAACGCGTTTAAATTAAGACTTTTTTAAGGGTGTCCGGTTCGATGTGAAATACGCCATGTCGACGCACTACAATATTTGTACATATTATTTGTCTATACTTGTGATTCATTTACACATAATTAACGACTAAGTAATCCTTTTTTAGTGATTTGGATGATTGAAAAATGGATGCAAGACTCATAACAATTAATACTTTGTAAGAACAGTGGGTTAAATATCACGCGATGAAAGTAAATAATGCGAAGATTAATGGGTAATCAGGTTCACGAGAGAAAAGATTTATCGATAGAGTGTGTTTTACAAAATGTGGGCATAATTTCGGATGTGACGCAAATATAATAAGAACATTTATATCCTCGTCATTGTATATTGTTCTTAAGAGAATAAATTCAAGTGATTCATGTGTCATCGTAAAAATACTTTAAAAAAAATCACCGAGATTATACGTACGAGATCTTGAACGATAAGCACAAGTGTATGATAGAAGTAATCGCGTTACCTCGAATGATATGAATGTTTACACGAACTTCTTCTATGTGCTGAATCTCCATCTACCCGTGTTTTATGAGACATTCTGTATAACACTATAACAAAATTTATGATATTGTTACATGAGAATCTCGACGAGTCAAATTAACATTGTTACATAGCGATAAGTACAACCCCCCCAAATCAAGGGTCCATTTGCAGTTAGGGGAATTACAGAAATTCTTGTTTTTCTACGATATTAAATTTCTAAGTTCCTTGAATGTTGAGTAACATTCGAGACCAGTATGAATTTACCGCACACTTCATTTCTACGATCGTCAGATTTATTGTCCATGGTCCATGCAATACCTCAGTACGTACACGTATAATTATGTATTTATATGTTTCGTTTTTCTTGTCTTTTGTAAGTCCAATTTATACAACGAATACGAACTTGTAAACGGGAGTATGAATCTCTGCAATAGCGAATATATGTGTGTAACAGAACGGTTTATCTCTTAAACTACTGATTGACAAGCTCCGTCGTCGCTTGAAATGCAATCTCTACATTTTTAATCGATCAGTATTCACTCATTGTACGTACTTAACGTACAACAATTATTGGTGGCTATTAAAGGCGATCTTTTTCTTTATTATATGATACGAATTTCTACTTTATTTATTTAATTTATATCAATTAATAGCAATGTTATCCATCGCGTTACGTAAAATACATTTTCAATTGTATTATCGAACGTGTCCACATAGTATAATACAATGTAATCTTTGTGATGAAGTAAAACACTAATTTCAATAAATGGTGGATTGTTTCAATTGTACGTTAACCATGAGAATCATGGCAATTTATAAAATTGCAGCAAACGTTTAACGAAGGTGTAAATTTATAAAAAGAAAAGGTGTAGTTTGAAAGTACATCTCAATTTCTAAATTCTTGCCGTCTAAGGGGAAAGTCACTAGCATTGGCTACCCCTTCTTAATCTCGTAGAGACTTTAATCGTTATCAAATAAAAATACTCTGTCGATAACTTTGCAAGACCAATGGACTATCCATTGAAGGATTACATTATCATTTATTGGATATATTTCATTCTGTATTGACACAATTGTATCATATGAACCGTCTAAACGAGAAATGATCGATAGAAATTGTATATATTTCTAGCTGGCTGGCAACTGCCGTTACGAATTAAAAGTTTCCTTGCCCAGCCTAATGTTAAAGCCCAAAGATATTACATTGACAACAATTCTGACAACTTATCAAACTTTTAATTAAATTCTCTTTTGCTACCTCACAGTTTCTTTTAGGTGATGTTTTCATTCCTAAAAGGAAAGGTAATTAAGTTATTCGTATTATTTATACATTTCTACAAAATTTCAACAATTTTTTGAATTTTCTAGAGGAAGCGCTAGTATCTTTCCCCTCAAACGACAGAAATAAACAAACTTGAGTGTGCAGTTCGCAATGAAAAATACATCGCAATGGTGTAGCGTCCGTGGTTGACAGATCCTCGCCAGGTGTCACTAACTACCGGCCGCTATATTGATCAAGTTAGATTTTCTAAGGACGCACGTTGATAAGATCTTGTATTTGTCGATTGTCCGAGAATTTGTCCGTGATACGTCAAAACATACGTCGCCACGATTTTCGGTGGATGTTCGCCGCCCGCCATTCTAGCCTCGTAATATTTCGCCTATGACGTCATTTGTGAATTACACAAGCGTCACCGCTCAGTCTATTGTGGAAAATTTCGTCGGATCCATGGCAGCCCCGAGCGAGCTCTGTTTTTCCTAATAAAAAAAAACTGTATCGACGGATTTGAGAGCGTAGTGTTGTCAACACTGACGGATCATCATTGACAGTGTTTTATCCCCAAGAGGACCTCATCTGTACAAAGTGAGCAATTCTACTCGCTTGTCTTTTTTTTCTTCTCGCGTTCTGGTCTCAGTCGAGTCTATATTTATTGTGCGTTGGAACGATTGTTACCGTATTGTCGCGCAACGTTTGATTGTTTATATTGTTTTACGTGGCTTCGTAACGCATTTCGATGGTACGACGGGCGGTTCGCGTGCTTCACGAAAATGACAGCTTGTCCGAGCTTGTGAATTCGAGTAGAGTTGTAATCGTCGACGAGTGGATTTTTGTTCAAGTTCTGACAATATCGAAGCAACAACAGAAGTTGTAAGGTGCCTTGCAGATATTGTTTAACGTTTCTTTACATTGCGAATGAAAAGACGTTCCGGCGATCGTTTAATGTTTACATTCACTGCCACGATCGTTCGATAGCGTCGACAATCGTATTTGTCACGAGTCATTGTCAAGTTTGTTATCTTACTCTTTTACAAGACACTCAGCTTTGCTCTTGTTTATAGAATGTGAAATATACAGTACAGAAAGGAGTTCTTCTTTATGGAGCAAAACTGAAGCTATGTTACGAAGAAGTTAAATACGATTGAAATATGAATTTAAATATAAATTCCTTCATCTTACATTCTTTCATAAACAGTCCCTCTGTGCAAAAGTGCTCTCCAAATTACTCTTAAATTTAAAACAAAATTGCAGGCTTTGTATAATCAAATGTACAGAACTCTTTTCTATGCTCTATACTTTTGAACATATTTTATACATTATCATTTACATTTTAACTCTGTTTTGCAGGTATAGTTCCAGTTTTCTGTAGCAACTTGGCAACTCGTTAAAATGTCGATGCAGCAATTTTGCTTGCGGTGGAACAATCATCAACCGAATTTCATTTCGGTGTTCTCAAATTTGTTAAACAATGAGACTCTAGTAGATGTAACATTGGCTGCCGAAGGTAGGCACCTTCAGGCGCATAAAGTTGTACTCTCTGCATGCAGTACATACTTTCAATCACTGTTCACCGTGAATCCATGTCAACATCCGATTGTCATACTAAAGGATGTTAAATTCTCTGATCTGAAGATCATGGTTGACTTTATGTACTATGGCGAAGTAAACATATCACAGGACCAGTTGCCATCAATTATAAAGGTATGAGTATAAAATTATAAAATTTCTTTATTCAAAGAAATAAAATTAATAGCGTCCTGTTCGTTTGTATAGACTGCAGAGAGTTTAAAGATAAAAGGACTCGCGGAAATGCATACCGCATCCCTGACCAAGTGGCCGAGCAGTAGTAGCGAACCTGGAGGAGGGGACCGCGGTGAATCTTGTTCACCCAGTCCGTCCCCGTTGTCGCCGTCGTTTCGTAGAAAAAGATTAAGGAAATCGTCTACAGGTTCGACATCCGGATCTGGTGATAAACCAGAAGAAATCAATGAAATCACCTTAGTTGCTACCAATATTGTAAAACCAGAACCATTAATAGTGTCGCAAGAAACTGGCGAAAATCTTAGGAGGCCCGTGAATACCAATACAGAATCTCAGGGGAGCATAGACGAAGATCAAATATCAATTGTAAGGACAACTCCGTTGTGTCGGACCTCTTCTGTTTTAACGTATAAAAAATAAAAATTATAGCAGCCATATTCATTTTAGATGAGCAACATGGAAAACAGTTCGGCTACAACACCAGCGCAGAGCGACGGTTCGATACAAGACGTGAGTCAACAATCAGGTGGCAATGTGGTGCAGAGTTCAGTTTCTTCGCAACCACCTGCGCATCAAGGTAAGTCTTTTTTTTAATAACGAGTTCAATTAGTCTGAGATTATTTTTAAATAGTTTCATACAGGTTTGTATAATGAAATATAATAAATAGATCGATGAAGCGTTTACGATACGTATCGCAAAATGATTTTAAAACGAACGTTTTATATTTTCGAACATATTCAGTGTATATATGTGGAATTGGTATTATCATATTTTTGAAGTTACCGCCTTTCTTTTTATATTGCATGAATTATATGTAATATCGAGACACAGGCAAAATTGTGAGCAATGATCGATAACATTTTTATTATCGTAAAATGGTCTCCATATATCTGTTGGAAATTGTAATATTGTTCTTTTAAATTATTGTTAACGATGAAGCGTAATAAAATTTTATGCTATAACACTACTTAAACCGCGAACACTGATTTAATGCGATCCAAATAAATTTGGAAACTTTATTTGCTACTGTACACAAACAACAATAACTTGATTTTAAACATGCATGACGTCTATCTTTCACGCCGATACCTTGGTAAATTGGTAGTTAAGTGCGATCTATACTGAGCGTGGTGGGTATCAAAACTGCATGTCGATAAACAGAACTCACACACATTATATGCTGGCACAGATGCGTTTAAATGTATTGCACAAGGAAAATCAACAGACGTTTGACATGAAAATAGAGCGAAAGTTGAGGAAAAATGAAAATTATTTGTGCAAATTTTCGAGGCTAGTTTCATTCATAAAATTCACCATGGTACACAGATACATAGCACACAATGTATAATGTTCTTCAACGGACAGTAAAATTGGCCTTTTAACATTGTCAAGTGTGTATGTGTGCCTTGCTCTGTCCTTTAATTTACCAATGTCATACACTTTTCCAATACTTTAAATCTATGACAAATGTGCTTTAAAATGTATCTGTGCCATGCCACAAATTCTATTCTTAATATTTCCATATATATACCATTTACTTCCACAGACCTTTCAAATATTTTTCCATTCTTTTCTGCTTATAGCTTAGCATTGTTTCTTTCTTTCCCATACACAGTAGCATAAAGCATTACCTTTCATTCGAACTAGATAATTACTTTTCTCACTTTATAATTCGGTTCTACAAGCAAGCATACAAAATTGCCTTTTGGTTTTTAAATGATCACACAAACACTCATTATACCACACCAAGTCACATATAACGTTTGAAAAAGGAATATCATTTCAAATTACATCTCGTGCATACCCGACACATTTAATTAGTAATTATCGTTGCATTTAATGAAAACATATAGCCCAGTCGAACTAATTCCTGTGCTCTGACCAAAAATAAACCGGTCTGTTCCACAGGATTGCAATGGACTATTATGGAGCACACATATCCACGTTTCGCTCTGTCCTCGTGTCAAACGAATCTGTCGATCCAAGCGTCATCAGCTTTTACCACGCCCGAAATAACAGCTTCCTCGACCATCAGCGATCAGTACTCTGGTACCAGCACAACTGGTTCCAGTTGCGCCCTGACGAATTACCCGAACTCCTCCCACGGAACATTGCAGCACGCATCATCGAGCGGACCATCGCCGTCGACGCAGTGTCCCAGTAACTGCCAGAGTCCTTGCGCCAGTCCGCAAACCGCGATTAAAAGGAAACGTTCGACGAATCCTCAGGCAGACGAAAACTTTATCAGAGCGCTGGACGCCGTACGTTACGGCGGCATCGGGTTCTGTAAAGCGGCCAGAATGTTCGGTGTGAACAATCGAACGCTCTGGCTAGAATACAAGAAGCGAGGCTATCCGAACAACCGTCCCAGCCTGAAGTCGAGGGTCAAGCAAGAAGTGAATTCCTCGCCGCCGCCTGCGCCGTCTGCTCAGCCCGTTAACTCACAAAGTCCCACCCCGATGGGACCACCCACCACTCCGCACAGTGCACACAATACCCACAGCACGCACACCATGTTGACCACCCACAGCCCGCACACGATGCTGAGTAATTACATAGACAGCAGGCACACGGACTACGCGTTGCCCAGCACCACGATGCCCATCAATTTGCATGGCGTTAATTACAACGCGATGTGAACCGGCCACGACGCGCCGACCGTCGTTACTTGTATAGACGAGCTTGAGAAGTATTAGATTCTACGGAGATAGAAAATTCGTCGGCGATAGTCTATGATAACGAGAAGAACAAAGTGGAGGGAGGGATCGTAAAGTGTGAAACGCAGCGAAACACAGTTTTTTAGATATCTTTTTGCCTAGTTCGTACATACCGATAAGCAGACCCTGGCACAGCCGAGATCGGGATCCAAATTTACACGAGAAAGATAATTAAGGAATTTGTATGCTCTTATAGTCATGACGCGATCGAACAATATTAAGTAATATTTTTTACACGAAGAGCAATAATCGCCACGTTTCGTCCTCGCTGTTTGTAACTCGTAGCCAAGGGTTACCTAGAAGTTTCCGCCTTGAGGAGGCATGTACGCTTAGTAGAACCAAAGACAGGCCGATGTTCCTAATTTGTTTATGGCTAAACAATTAAATTTAAGTAACATGCAACGCCGCCTATTTTTTTAGCGCGTTATTCAGGTGTCTACTATTAAAAAAAAAATGCACCAGGTGTTGAGATTTTATTTGAATTAGAGATTATTCAAACGTTTCATAAATCATACCGGTGCATTCGACAGATTTACGACGAAACGGAGTATTATTGCTCTTTGTAGCAAAAAATGTTACTTGTTACTCAACATTTTCTTTTAAGATACATTGAAGGTTTCAAAATGGCGCGAGGGCCTTCAAGAGGCTCTGCCTATATGAAGCTGGGGATAACGTAGATCTCGATTAAAGAGATAATCATCAGTACATACTACAGAGATTTTTTTATAATAGAGTACACGCGCGTAACCGAAGATGTCGCGTACCAATGCTTAGAACTCGTCGGCAAGACGTTCTTAACGACGATCGGTAAATTCAATTTTTTACAATTTTTTTACGCGAAAGAAAATTAGTTCATACTCTTTTATTTTTTTATTTTATCAAAGGTGGAAATTGTACATTGACAGATGGTTTTATCTTTATCCACAATTTAGATACTTATTTACGAATAATTAGCTAACAAGGAATCAAAACGAGTCAAATAAATAAGTCAATGAGTTCTAATTGCACATCGACGTATCGTAACAAATTCTGAAAGAGGTTCCTTCTGTTGTAACTTATCGTTTAAAGTTTGAATTAGGCGGTGTGATAGAACAATCCTATCTATACACATTTGATCGATCTTTGCGATGATTTCAACTTGTAAAAGTTCAAGTTGGTGCAATATATCTCTTTGCGTTTGAATAGTGAGAACTATTTTGCTCGACCAACTTTTAGCTAAAAGCTAATACGAACGCCGCGTAACTTGTGTACATAGTAAATAAAGTAACGATACGAAATAATTAGTCTGAAGAATTATATCATGTGTACTTTGAAGTACTACTTGCACAGTTAATGCATCCTACGTAACTAACGATTAATTATAAGAGAACAAGAGAGTCAATACATGTATTACGATGTATTACGATTGATTGTTGTCACGTTAGTAAACGACTTATGTTTGTGAGTGCTTTTTCGTAACGCGTACGATAGTTTTCGTAGATTACATAGTATATCGTTTACAGGCTACGCAGTCGTTCAAAATTTTATCAAATAATTCTGCATCGCTTAAAACTTTCAGCTGCTCAGGGTGTATTGTAAAATATGATCCAACGGCAGAATACAAGTCGGAATTTAAAGTTGTCAGAATAAATGATCAGAAGTCAAGAGTTACGTTGCACAGTCCTTATAGACGTCAAAATACAAACTTGAAGAGTCAAATTCTGTGTGGATTAAAAAATTTAATTAATGTTTGTCTTTTTTGGACATTTGCATCAACATTTTTCATTGTTTTTAATCGTCGAACGCCTTCTGAAGTTATATTCACATGTTCGACTTCATCATGAACATAGATGTAACAGGTTACAGGGTATAGCGCGAAATTAAGACGTGCAGAATCTCGTTAGATAAGAAAACCGCGAAAAATCGGTTTTCACCGTTAGCTAGCAAAGCGATCTTTTCTATTAATTTGTAATTTGTACAAATATATTTTTCTATTTATGCATCGAGAAGCAACGTGCTTCGTAACAGTGCAATACACGAGAGTAATTGTTTTCCTAATTTACACGATGGTTTGTTGTATGTACGGATATATTACTAACTTGTGAACAAAAATAAATGTAATGCATGTATTGAGAAAACGGTTCTGCGATACAACCTGTTGCTTGATTGTTGAGATTTTGTTTTCTGTACGAGTCACGATTAATCTTAAAAAAAAAAAAACTCGAATTTTAGTTTCTCACGAGAATGGCTTTGCTGATTTCTTTTCGCGACTGTTAGAAAGTCTCGAGAGATTTATACCACCATTTTGTTTACGTAGGTAGACAGGCAAAATTAGTGCGAAAGAAATGTGGAAACGCGAGGTTTATAAATAATTATCGACGCTAGAGTTAATCGAAAGTGATGTATCTTGTTTATCGCTCAACTAGATGCATTGAATTTTAATAACGATGTAAATATCATTGATACATTAATTACATGCTCGTCCGACTCTTAATTTTTAATTTCTGCAAATAAGTATTATTTAGCTGTGTTGCATATTCGATGTAAACTGCATTTAAAATAGACGCGTTGGGATTGTTTTCCTTTTCATCGTACTTAATGTATTTCTGACGAAAATTGTCAATTTGTTATCGTCTTCCTAGTCTTATTTGTTCAAATGTAAATTGCAAATATTCTCGATGATCCACGCATCGTAAGATTTCACGAAAAACTTTTCGTGAATTCTTGTATATTCGTTATGTTCACGTTCGAGGCACGCGAGCTTTTTAAATTTTTATTAAACCCCTTGCAGTTCGGATTTCTTGATTTCGAGCAATACGATACGAAAATACTAAATGGACTTTATTTACTAAGAGACAGTCGATGTATATTATCAATAAAATAATTGAACAATTATTTTAATGAAAAGCGTACATTGGGAGTGTTTCCATTCGCATCTGTACAAAGTAATAGATAAATATAGGATGTTGAAAAATGTTGATCGTAATGTATACACTCTTAAACGTAACGTTTCTCGCCCGATGAACAGTCGTCGGGATGAACGAGAGGAAACTAGTTTAATGGGTACGAATTTTATATGCGGAGAATCGAGTTTACTGTGTCAGTGTTCTGTATAACGTCTTTAATAAAAAATAACGTGAAGGAAGTGCTATAATTAAAGTTATTTCCGGATCGAGGCAGGACCTGGTTCACGTATGATATCCGCCTTTTTAGATTTTTATTTATGTAGCAATTTTGTCAATGAAAATAAAGTTTTATTTAAAAACGATACACCTCGCTAGCGTAACTAGTAGCGTTTCATTCGGTGCGTGCAGAGGCGAGCTGAAGAAACAAGGTCGAGTAAGGTGTATGCGAATCTGTGTCAGCATATAAACAGAACACTCTCTGTACATTAACCACGCAGTAAGTTAACAATACGATATCTCCCCCCCCCCCTTCGCAAAGGAGACCCGTAAAAATCTAAATCAGAACTCACGTTAAATTCTGCTTTTTCTTTTCAGCGGTATGCAGGCAAATAGTGGGCACCAAAAGGTGCAGACTTCTGATGCGTCAGCCCAGGGTGAAAAAGGAGCCGAATCATCTTTCGCCAGACAGCGAGATGTCCTCGCCACACATTGTTCCATCTCCTATACACGTGGCCACACCCACGCTGAACCTACCCCAGACATCGAGAAGTTGGGAAGAGTCACGAATCGCATCACCCCCGCAACAGCCAACACTGGCGAACCAGCCAAGCTTGTTGACAGTGACCACTTCTACGAACCTGTTGACCGTTCCTCAGCCCGCCTATTTGACAAAGCAACACTCTCACCCGCTCTTGTCTAGTCAACAACAGTCGACCAGTGGCAACTATTGGATCCACAGGCAACACTCAAACCCAGAATTCCCTGGCAGGACGACCAGCCCGTCTATCGTCGTCGATCCAGCGCCCCTCGTCAAAACCGAAGAGGATATCTCGGAGGAATCCGCGCCTGCTACCACCGAAGCTCCTGTCCCTACCTCCGAGCTCAGAGTGAAAACGGCAGAGCTCAGACGCAGCTCCTCGTCACCTCAGGTAAGCAGAGATCATTGTCTAAGATTAAGAGAACACCAAAGTACTAATGTGTCTTTTCATCGTTCACTTATATTCCATTTTTGATCAATCTGTTGTAGACTACAAGCAGGGAAACGAGGGAGAGCACCGGAGACCAGCGCCTAGGCCACTGTCCCGTGTTGCGTCCAGGTCCCGCCTTAGGCTGCAATCACTGCTGGAACACGATAGACGCCCACAACAGGATACTCCGCAGGAAAACGAAATACCACTGTCCAGAATGCCAGATCAATCTCTGCATCGTACCATGTTTCCAGGAGTATCACGAGCAACGTCGCGAGTTGAAGCTAAAATCTTTGCCAAAAACTGGCTCTGTTTAACGCGTTTCTATTTAGTACCGTGTAAGTTAGGTCGCGAACTGCGGAACACGCAGATAACTTTGATCCTTTCGTCGAGGTTTCCGCGACGATTGTCCATCGACGATGCATTGCATGCAGACTCGATTTTTGCGAACAGGTCAGAAGCTTTGGAGTCTCACGAGTCGATCATCGTCGATCGAAATGATAGAAAGTTTTCGTTGGTGACGAGAGGAAAATGGATTATCGTTTGCCTTACGAGATGATATTTCGAAGATTGATTGACTGGATAACGAAAGTTCCTATGGAATTAGTAAGGTGACTCCAGAGACAAATTGTTAATTATTATTCCGTTGAACGCAGCCGTAACTAGGTACAGAGAATTTGAGAAAATAAAACGTGCGATCGGGTGACAAATGAATGAAGAAGAACAAGTGATAAACACTCAATTTTAAGAATGTAGTTAGTAGTTACTCCAATTGAATTGAAACGGTAAATATGTATTTTAAAAGTAGATGTAACGCAAAGTTACTTTTAGATCAGATTTAATTAAAATTTAGATTCAACGCTCTACTTCGAGAGAACAAGGATTAGTTTTGCAGCACCTTATATATTGGCAAAAGTTTAGCAGATCGCGTCTGTCGATTCTCTCTTCGTTACGGCTACGCGAAAAATTGTCTACAGTCGATACTACTCGAAGCTTTCAATAATCACCTAACTGTAAGAACCTAGGTCGTAAAAGCCTCAAATATCTTGTGAAATATCGTGAATTTTCTAAGGAGTAAATATTGGATGTTTGAAGTAAAGAGCGCCTCCGTGAAACGCGGAGCGGCGAAAAAGATTGTCCTTTGACAACTTTAAGCGTCGCAGAGATATTAACGCGGAGAAGGGGTTGGTTTCGTTGTTGAGAACTGAAACTAAGTAAAATCTCGTCGAAGGAATAGATCCTGCTGTTGATCTAGGTGTTTACCCGCTCTCGCCAAAATGAAAATCGGTCCGATTTCTTGTATTTTTTTAAAACCACGGACGAGTACCTAATCGTCGACGGTTTGACGTAATTTATTGTTCTCGCCCAGCTCGCAAAGAATCGCACAGGGCACATATTTCGCTGTAAATTCGCGGATGAAGAAAAATATTTGTAACGTATTAACTTAACTGTGAACCTATCCTAGAGATATATTCTTGCATAGACACCGTTACTTAGTACGTACATATTTCTATAACGCAATTAACTTATTCGTACACGTGTAAATAACTCGGTAGCTGTACATATATATATTTTTTAAGGAGACGAGCGTGCTGAGGAGGCTTCCAAGTTCGCGAGGGAAGCCGTACAGGATGTAAAAATGATCACGATTTTCATCGACGAGCCAACGCGTCTGGATCGAAGATTTGTGCTTTTCAAATTTTTTGGAAGGTACACGCTAAACTATACTGACAGTATCAGTATAGTTCAGCGAAGGTACGTACCACTATGGCTGGCGCCATCCACTTTGAGTAACGCTGATCGAGACTGTGTAGGTTTGTCTGTGAGAATAGCGACAGGATATTTTTCTCGTACCCTGTAGGTTGGATCGTCTTTGAGATAAAGGGTTGTCGTAGACGCGAAAGACCCGCGTTTCGACCTTTCACCCTTCCAATTCAGTCACTTTAGATTCGATTAAACTCTTGTTTACACGTTATTTTTAACCACTCGATAAAAATGTACGCATACAAATATTTTCAGAATGCCCTGTGTACTTTGATCTAGAGTGGCTGTACTATTCTTGTAATTGTAAGATCTCCAACTACCTTCTATTGTTCGTTCCCAGAACTTGTGTACTTGATGCATTTATCGAAGCCAATGGAACCGTTGCTTGGGATAAGTGACTTTGTACTCCACGTGGAAAATAAAGAGCGTGTGGTTTTTTTATTGACGACAGACGAAACGCTGGCAGTGACGTTTTTGAATCAGCGGCGACGTTTTCAATGAGACTAAAATATTTTGCACCCATTTGCGAAGATTTCTTGAACGAAGGGTACCAGTCGCGCCCAGAGAGTTCGTTTCAATTTTATGGGCAAACTATGCGCGCGACTTATACTGCGAATGGCTGTAAAGAATGTTCCTAAGCGACGTTGACGACGTGAACCAGCCTTTCCCTTCGTAAATTACATTTTTATGGTAGCAATGTTAAATGTTACTGATGACTTGATGCAACAGTGAAATTACCTTTTCAAAAAGATTCACAGGGGCATTCTCTTCAGCCTTGCAGTATACACATATACATATATATATATATATATATATTTGTTACAAGCGAACGGATTCGTCTCGAACCGGGCGGACGTTCGCAAGAATTGTCCACAAAGTTAGTTTCAGCAGGAGTGTATGTATACAGTCAGTCCCATAAATACTCGTACCCTCCATGTCTATCGAAGAAATTTATCTCGATTAAACGATAAATTTGTTGTTTCCAAATAAACATTTTAGTATAAATATATGTACGAATATAATGGAATTGACTGTATATGTAAAATATATATGTAAATATATATTTTTAATTTAACATAAGAGAATGTGTGTGAACGCTCGAAATTGTCTTTCACGAAGTCCCCGAGAGAAGAGTCGTTTCTCGTTTCCCGAGGACGTTTTAACGAATACATCCTGTCCTTTATAGGAGAAAGAGAGCTTAGCACGTCAGAGACGCATTTTTCCCTGCCCCCGCCCCCCGCCCCCAGCTACCCTTAAGAACGCGTTACGTACCCATTGTCCCTCATTGTAGGCCCTGCAGTCGCTCACGCTCGCGAAATGTGGATCGCGAGAGCGTCAAAGATGTAGCATACGTGCAATATATTTTTCTTGGCATTGCGAATGTACTATGCGCAAATTGTGTCGATTAATTATATTTTATGTAAATCTAGCCGTAAGATTCGTAAATGAAAATAAAAAGAATGTGATCCGACGCGTGGCTTTTACGTTTTCCAGCAACACGGTGGTCGTCTAGCACGCGTATCGACTAACAATATCTCTAAGCGTCATTTAATTATACCTTCCACTTTAACGCGTCTCGCTCGCTCTCCCTTGAAAGTCGCGTTGAATTTCTAGAACATCCACCTCCCTCTCTAACCGTACCGACCGACAATACCGCACGCCCACGTCATTCCTATTTGCCTTACTAAAGGGAAGATATTCGACCGGCAAGAGAGCGACAGGAGCTAGTCAATCGCGACCACCTAATTTGCAAAACCCGTGGAAGCACCATCGCGACCGACACGGTACCTCCAATAATTCAACGTATCGCTGATACACCAATAATCCCAGCCCGAAGGGACAGTTTTTCCAGCTTCGCCTGGCAGGGTCAGCCCGCTCGTTTCTTTCCCCGCAAGCTGACGCCAGCAACCCCGTAGCGCGACGGAAGGACCGTCATCTTGGATCCCCCGAAAGCCACGGCGATATTGTACGTGCAGCCGCTGCCCCGTCGACAGCTGGGACCCTCGTCTCGCTCCTGCCGTAGCCAAGGATCCGGGGACTTCGATCCGGAACGAAGAGTCACGGATTAATCGTTTTGCACCCTTCGCTCGCGGCCTTCGGGGGCGACTGATCTCGTTAGGGTGACGTTTAAATCACATTACGCGGACTGATCGGTTTACCAACCGCCCGGCATCGAAACAATAATCCTGTTCACCGTGTTTGTAAATTTAGAGAATCCTGTTACCGACGTGTTAGTCGAAATTAGATAGATAGGGTTGGATATAAGTATTTGTAGTAAACCGTAGTCGACTACGTTTATTAAAGATCCAGTCGATATTGGTCCTACTGTTTCTATCTATCTGTTTCTATCTATACTTTATATTTCGTTTGTAGAGACTCTTTCGTGTAACGCAGAAATTCTCTAAGGATTCGA